GGCACACCGATACGGGCAACAAGGCACGCGACTTCCTTCCAAAGCGGGATGCATGTCATTCGTGGTGCCTACGGGGGCACGGTAGCTTAGCCGGTCACACCGCATCAAGGACTGATTAACGTGGATGGTGGGGTTGCATTGATACTGGCTATGGGTTTCCCGCGCGATTAATACTCATGGCACCTACACGGCACCGTTCATGCGTCCTGCTGCAGCTTTCTCCGCTCTGGGGAACCTGGCTTCTCCATATCCCGCCTGGGCGATTGGACCCTTCCCGCTAGTCCACCCATCGAGTCCGTGGGCGCTGGAACGTGCAAGATAAGGACCGAAGCAGCAGGCCTAGGCCTGCTCGGGAGAAGACTCTGAAGTATCAGGTGCTTTACGAGAAAAAGAAGGCATTGCCTTCGTTGTCCTTTCGCTGCACCTTTGACAGGTCCTTGTCTGGTGCATACTCTGTCCACGTGCTCGCGGGGAAGATATGCTTGTTGCGCTCGTACCAACGCCTGTGAACGACTTTGGTTATTGCTGGGTCTTCACCGAAGCCCTCGAGTTCCTCATCTGGTATACTAGACTCTTTGCTCTTCTTCTTAGAGGGCTGAGCAAGTGGGTCGTATGTAGCAGGATCTACTTCGGCGTCGGCATCGGACGTGCTAGGAGTGGCTTTGGTGGGTTGTGCTGAGTAGTCGAAGATCGGGCCATCGAAGCCAGTGACCCTGTTAAACAAGAAGTGGTAGATTTCGTAGTGCTGGCGTCAATGTTAGTATACAAAAAGAGGCACTTTTGAATATGATGCTTACATGCGGTAATATGACTTCACCTCTGACAAGCATCAAGTCATCTACGCTGACCCTAGCCCAATCTCTTCGACTCTTGTCCCCTCCCACGCCTAGCTCTGCACCCACCTTTCGGGCTTTGTCTAGAAACAACCATATCTGCTCGCCCTTCTTTATCCTGCATCTTCCACCTGGAACATTGGTCCCATCATAGAAGACAAAAGGTATCACTACTTCGGTCGCCTTTACGGAGTCGCGCATGAGTATAAAGTCTTGCCGTGCCTGTTCTGCTTGCTGGGCTTCGCGTTGGAGAGCTGTCTTGGTCATGACACGGGGCTTGAGACCGATGCTCGAGTTTGCGCCGAGCTTCTTCTTGAACACCTTCACTTCAGCTTCTGGGGCAGATGTTTCGGCGGGGGTGCTTTCGCGAGGGGTAGAAGTCTTCGAAGCATTGGATTCGGTGTCTTCGTCTTCGTCTATGCCGAATGAGAGCTTGCCTTTACCAGCTACTTTGCGCTTCTTCTTGAAAACGGGCTTTGGCGTCGATGCCCTATACTTTGCAAATTAGTGAACATCCAATGAGCGTGTTCGCAAATTCGTACCCTTCGGCGGGCGTGTTTTCGCCTGAGTTGATTGCAGCGTCACCTTGTTCCTTCCTATCGAGCGCCTCGGCGCGTCGCTTGCGGTAATCATTCAGGTTGACGAGCCCGACAGTTTGCGCCTTAAGCAAATCCTCGGCTGTCGCAGCCTGGGATGTGAAGCGCGCGTTGCCAGACGTATCTGGGCGATCGCCGGAACTCGAAGCAAATCTGTCCATATTCGTAGAATGATGTGGGTTGGAGGATATGCGGTTGCTAGAAAGTTGACGATCATTTCGCGCCAAGCCCTGGTCGTGGCTCGTCCCGTGATTGCGTGAACGCGACGCGATCAACGGGAAGGAACATTCGCCCCCACTCCGATAACAATCTCGCCCCAGCGCTCTAAGCCCTTGCCGGACTACACACGACATGCACAGCGATGCCGCGCATTGTACAGGACTCAGATGAAGAGCTGGACGACGATCTCGAGGGCGACCTTGTGCCACCCAAACAACCAGACGCGTCCACGCAGCCACCCAGTAATGAGACCCACGGCACAGGATCCACTGGTAGGGCCGACACCATGAACCCGTATTCCGAGTTAAAAACGCTGATGTGTAATCCAGAATCGCTGAAGAGGGCTATTGAAAAGGCGCACCGCGAGCATCTTCAATCGCAGCCCAGCCAGGATGAGCCTCAGTCCTCAATATCCTTGCCTGAGCATCCAACTAAGAAGAGAAAGACCGCGGATGATCCTAGCCCGCTCAAGCCGTCGATTGATGCATCGTCCAAAAAGAGAGGACCAATCACCTATGGCAAGGCTCCTAAATCTATCTTTGGTAGCTCTCCAGCAATCATCGCTCCACTGGACGACAAGGAAGGCACGAGCCTTGCTAATTGGATGCCGGACAGCACTATGCGCGGATACTGGATGAACCACGAACCAGCCATGTTTAGTGAGCATGAGCCTTCGAGCACTGTCCCCAACGCTACGATGACCCAGCAACATGTTTTGGAAGTTGTTAATGCTCCGATGATGATGGGCCAAGAGATCGATACTGAAGGTCGTCATTGGGTCCCACCGCCCGAACCATCGATACCTTGGTCAGACCTCATGAAGTTCACACCTGCAGAGGCTGCTGATCAGACTGAGTTATCGGAACGTGACCTACCTCCGCTCGATCTTTCATTAGCCACCCCGATTCGAACGACGCAGGGAGGCTATGAATACTCTGCGTCCCAACGTAGCAGGCGTGGGTCTTCCGTCCGTCTGAAAAACAGTCCTTTGAAGAACGAAGTTCCGCACACCGACTCCAACATAACTTCGGCTCTTGATTTACCCTCTACTGCATCACCAAGGACCCAGAAGAGCAGTTATGGAGAAGCAAAGGAGACGCCTCGTCGTTCAAAGTCACAACTAGTACCTAAGTATCAACCTGACGACGACCTTGCCGCTATCGGGCTCCCCAAGGAGCAATACAAACCACGCCCCAGTCGCTCAAGATCACTCAAGGTCGAAGAGGAGGGACCTATTGACTACTCTGTCCGACCCGAGAAAGTCAAAAAGGTTAGTAGACGGCGGCAGACAACAGCTGCTGTCGATGCCAGTAATATCAAAACACCTGAAAAGGTACGACAGATTTGCGACATGGGCTTCACACCTACGACGACCTCTGGGGCTCTGAAGCGAAACAACGGTGACGTCATACAGACCATAGATTGGCTAGTCACTAACAATGTTGGCCATGATGAGCTTGCACCACCAAGTCCACCTAAAAACAAGCCGGTCATGAACAAGAGTGAGGAGAAACCGGCGATGGACTCCGAGGCTATTCAAGATATTATGCGCGATCTGAACGAGTATCGCAGAGACGACACCCAGGATGCCGTGCAAGACACGGTCCACGTTGCGGTGGCGAACGGTACTACTATGCATACGGAAACCGCGGATGATATAGCAAGACCTACGGTGACCGAACTGCGTTCCCCGACAAAAGTACAAGTGGTGATACCTAAGAAGTCTCCAGTTGCCACTTCCAAGCAACCCGCAAGTTCAGCCACAACATCGAAGAAGAAGGCGAAGCGTAGGAAAACCATGTCGGATCAGCCTGAGAATGAACAGGCCGCAGCAGATGATACTGTGCCTGAAGCCATACCCGCGAAGAAGACGCGTGGTCGACCCAAGAAAATTGCACCTACTGTTCCGCCCCAGGAGCCCAAATTAGAACCAATGGAGCAGACCACGGAGATGGAACAACATGAAGAAGCTGTGCAAACCACCGAGCCTGAAGCACTTCCGAAAATAGCACAACAAAGTTCAGGAGCCGCATCGAAGGAGAGGAAGCAGTCAAATTCGGCAGATACCCCAGAGACAATGACTGCCAATGATCCCATCCTACCATCGAAACCCTCCCCGGCTGCAACATCAGCAACCCCAGAACCCAAAACAAAACCTACAACCGCATCGCCAGCCACTACAGGCAAGGTGCCATACCGTGTAGGACTGAGCAAACGCGCGAGAATTGCTCCTTTGTTGCGCATTGTGAAGAAATGATAGGGCAGTGCTTACTTCTCCTGTCACAAAGACATATAGATTATGACGTTACACTTAGCATCTAGCTATGCACCTGAACCTAATGATACCCACTTTTACTTGGCCTTACCTTCAATTTCCACCTCTTCGTGAACGTCGTATACAAGGACCAGCTGAAGTTTTTCTAGTGGCTCGCCTGCCTTAGCCGAACCACAACTCAACGTCTGAGCAAACTAGAGGACGCAGCTATTTGGTCTCGACGTTCTGGCGCCAAAGCGTATCGGCTATCCACTTTGTTGCATCTTCGTGGCGCTCGATCGATGCAAGACAACAGACTGCTGTTCGCTCTATCTACTGGTATCCTTACCTTGACGAAGTTTTGAACCACTAAACATCGCATTGCATATGCGATTTGCTTGCCGGAGGTTCATTGCCGCCGGCGGCATTATCGATTATCGAGAGCGGAAGCCAGCGCTAGCTTGGACTTGGCGGTGGAAATGAAGGCTCTCAGGGGCCTTCCAACACCGAATCGCAACCAGCGGACGACAGCCGGGGCGTTACCAATCCTGCACCCCTGAGCTTGGCGTCAGGCGTTCGTCCTTAGAGCTGGGAAAATGTGACTCGGAGTATCGTGCTGCGAGCGGCGCGCATGACGATGTGACCGTTACTGGCGCGCTGTCGCATACCGGTAGTCCCAATACCACGGGTGTCGCAACAACGGCTGACAGAATAGACATTGTTGTTACCGTTTCCTGGTACTGAAATCATTGTTCGCAATGTAGCATTCGAATCGCGACTAACATGCGGCATTCACCAACTTCATCGATACTGGTGATTGCCCTTCTGCAGAGCCCTTCAACCACATTCCTGGATTCGGTGCCGACGAAGCCGAAAGCGAAACGGCCTCTGATTCCTACGCGAGACGCCATCGAACGCCACATCAAGCCATCAACGTGAAAACCACGATGTTTTTGTGACGCCAAGTATCCCCGCTAGCCTGTTGTTGAGATAGGCCCCGCCGGCGATCATCCCACTTCAGTGTATCCGCGACGGGAGCTGGTCAGAACCAGCATCGCGTCTCATATATTTAGACCCCGGCGCCTTATTAGCTTGGTCATGACAGGAACAGGTCGGCTTCAGGCTCTGTTATGCCTCTTCGAGATCGACATGTTTATGGGGTTTGGCACCTCACAAGCCTCCCAAGGCTGTAGGGCTACCAAGACGTGCAATCACGATAAAGACATGAGAGTTTGCCGTATCACCTTACAGTGGCTTACACTAGGCGCCTTACCAATCTTCTCAGTACCATGCCGTCTCCACTGTCCCTTCGTATCCCACGAAAGTTTCCCAGGGCCGCGCTCTTGGCTGCTGATAATAGTGTGCTGACTTCTTCCAGTTAGTGGGGCTCCACTCCTCGCAGCTACGCCACGAGTCGTCGCCCTTGGAGGTGCGTCTACAGGATTCTCTGTTATAAGTATATCGGATTTCTTCTCTTTGCGTTCTTTACTCGTCTTGCTCGTCTTTGCACGCATAGCGACCGTCACTCGTTTACTCCTAACTAATTCTAATTGACTTATTGTCAACCACACTCGCTTTACACTTTTGCAACCTAAACCGAATACTACAACCATACTAGGACTGTAAAACTTAATTCGCTAAAATGCGTTTCACTCAAGTCGCTGCTGCCTCTTTGGTAGCACCGCTCGTTGCCGCTCATGGCATGGAGGGCATGCCAAGGATCGTTGGTATGCCTAGGCAGTTGAGGGCCAGCAACCCTTTTGCTGGTTTCAAAGACCATCATATTGCTCACCCAGATCCCATCATCCGCCCCCGACAGTCTGCCGACGGACGCTGTGGTCCTGACGGCGGCAACCAAAAGTGTGCGGACAACGAGTGCTGCTCAAGCGCCGGATACTGTGGTACTACCCAGGAACACTGCCAAGCGCCTGACTGCTTGTTCAACTTTGGACCTGCATGCGGTATGACACGTTCTTTCCCGTCTACTGTGATCAGCTTACTCATGTCACTGCAGATGCCAACAAGACTCCTGCTGGAGCAAGCACCCGCAATGATGTTCGCCAGAAGCTAGGATCCATTCCTTACGGCGGTGGTGGTATCTACGTCTGCAACAACCCTGGAACCGTCGCCATTACATACGACGATGGTCCATACATCTACACCGAGGACGTTATGGCTCAATTTGAAGCACGTGGTGCCCATGCCACATTCTTCATCACCGGTAACAACATCGGAAAGGGTGCCATTGATGAGAACTGGGCTGGTGTCATCAAGAAGATGTACGACAACGGCCATCAGGTCGCTTCTCACACTTGGTCCCACCAGGACCTTAGCCTCATCACCAAGGAGGAGGTTTACGACCAGATGGTCAAGAACGAAATGGCCATCCGGAACATCATCGGCAAATACCCTACCTACATGCGCCCACCTTACTCTTCCTGCGATGCTGAGTGCCAGGAAGTCATGTCTGATCTTGGCTACGTCGTTTCCTACTTCGATCTCGACACCGACGACTACAACAACTTGACTCCGGAGAAGATCCAGGTCGCCAAGGACAACTTCAAGAACGGCATCGACACGCGCAACAGCGGAGACCCATACGACGGTGACAGACTCGTCATCGGCCACGACATCCACCAACTGACCGCCGAGAACCTCACTGCATACATGCTTGACTACCTCTACGCCCAAGGCCTCACAGCTGTTACCATGGGCGAGTGCCTCCAAGACCCCAAGGAGAACTGGTACCGCGACTCTACCCCCGCTCCCCCCAGCACTTCCTCTACTCGCACCTCTTCTGCCGTCCCTACTCCCACCGGCCCTACCTCCAAGGACGGCATGTGCGGCTCGACTGGCGGCTCACAGTCCTGCGTCGGCTGGGTCGGTGTTGACGGTCTCCTTGGCGAGTGCTGCTCTCAATACGGATACTGTGGAAACACCGCCGACCACTGCCAAACTGGCTGCCAAGCCGGTTTCGGAAAGTGTGGTGCCCAGCCCAGTGCCTCTCCCTCCGCCTCTGCCTCCGTTTCTGCCAGCGTCACTGGTCCCGTGCCTACCCCTACTGGCCCTTCTACCACCGATGGATCTTGCGGTGCTGCAAACGGCGGCATGACCTGCATTGGCTTCAACGGCCCCGCTGGTCTTAGCGAGTGCTGCTCCGAGTACGGATACTGCGGTAACACTGACATCTACTGCGGAACAGGTTGCCAGGCTGGCTTCGGAAAGTGCGGTGCTCAGGATGTTAGCAGCGCTTCTTCTTCTGTAGCCGCTAGCTCTACCCCAGCTCCGTCTTCCTCGGCTGATGTCAGCAAGGACACTGTCTCTTCTTCCACTGTCTTGAGCTCTTCCGCTACTGCTTCGTCCGATGCTAGCACCACTATCGATGCTAGCTCCAGCGCCAGCCAAGTCTCCTCCGCACCCTCAGCTACTCCTACCACTTCTGGCGAGAAGTCCCGCGACGGCTCTTGCGGCGGTGATAAGGGATACACATGTGTTGGATTCAGCACTCTCGAGGGCGTAAAGTCCGAATGCTGCTCCGCTTGGGGATACTGCGGTTCCTCCGAGGACCACTGCGGTGCTGGTTGCAACCCAATCTACGGCAACTGCCCTTCGGTCTCTTCTTCGTCTGTTTCCTCTTCCATCGCTGTTTCCAGCGCTAGCGAGAAGTCCGAGTCCACATCTTCTACCGTTGCTACGCCCACATCTGAGGTCATTTCTTCATCTGTTTCTGCTTCCGCCTCCGCTTCGGCTTCGGAGTACGTTTCTGCATCAGTCTCTGAGCATGTTTCCGCATCTGCTTCGGCTTCTGCCTCGGCTTCTGCCTCTGTTTCTGAGCACATCTCTGCTTCTGCTTCCGCTTCCGCTTCAGTCTCCGACTACGCCTCGGTGTCCGTCTCCGTCTCCGAGCACGTCTCCGCATCCGCTTCAACCCCCACGTCTGAGAAGCCAGAGGAGCACGAGTCCACCTCCGTCTCTGTCTCTGTCTCTGCTTCCGCCACAGACTCCGCTTCCAAGGACAGCTACCCCACCAGCTCTGTCGTCCCAGCCTCCGAGTACCCAGCCTCCACTCCTGGAAACTCCGAGACCGTCCCATCAAGCAGCTCAGTCGCCGTCTCGGCCTCTTCCGAGTACCCCGTCTCAAGCTCCGCTTCCTCTGCCTACCCCGTCTCTACCATGACACCCACCCCCGTCCACCCCTCATCTTCCTTCTCGACTGCCATTGTCCGCCCTAGCTCTACTTCCTGCTCCACAACCGCCACTCCTACACCTACCAAGCTCCCCGTTTCTTCAAACGGAAAGTGCGGTGAGGCCAACGGTGGCCAGACATGCGCTGGCTACAAGACGCTTTTCGGTGTTGAGATGGGATGCTGCTGCAAGCAGAGTGGACGTTGCTCCATTGACCCCTGGGCGTGTGGTCTTGGATGTGACAAGGGATACGGAAAGTGCTGGTTCTAGATGATGAGCGAGGTATTTGTTTATGGACTTTCTTCATGTTCTGGTTATATCCTTAGGGTGGTGGTTTGTTGTGGCTTGCTTATGTAACATGTAGAATAGCAATACATGATGACGAAGACCTAGTGGGTGTTGTGCTGGAAATTCTTTTGATCATGGTATCGTGTCCGGTGAAAGTGACATAGTGAGAAACTCAAGCTCATTACAAAGGAATGCTACGAAGTGTTTCTCAAGAAAGTGCCACAATTTAGGCAGCGGTGGGACTATGAAAACCCTCTGGAAACGGTCATGTTCGAGAACCAACGTTACAAGTACGGCTGGATGTCCGAGGTCCCGGATTACGGCTCTGCCTATGATTCAGACTGAGTGGCATGACGAATCAGTATCCTCTAGATTCTGGATTTCTAGATGTACGAAGAGAGGATCGAAAACAAAACGAAGTTGGAGAAGACATGTACGACGGTCTCATCTTTTTGGGCGGTAGTCACATGCGCATTACTTCCCAGCTTTGTGTCTTGGCCTTGTACTTCTAGGATAATCATATAAAACTGTGTCAGTACGACCTCCCCGCCTTTCTCACATCCCAAAGTACACTCCATTTTACGAAAAAAAAAACAAGCCAAGTGCGTTCATGGAGGAGACTGCCTCTTCTCCAAAAAGTCTCAACCTGTCAATTATGTCCGGCACCTCTCTTCGCGCCCTAAAATCGATGGCTCGAGTTTGTCATGAGGAGCGTTCTTCGAGTGCCACCCTAGTACGAAACTCATCACAAGAGAGCCACATGTGCGGCGCTTGCTCTCCTTCCCCAGCTCTACACTTTTGGACTGTTCGATACATAAAAGCGTCTGCGCTACGCCCAACCTCCACTCATCAATAATCTCATTTCATTCTCTTCTTAACAGAATGCGGAAACCAGACGAAACATGGAGAAGGCGTTCGGTCTTCCAACATACAACAGACATAGTCATGTTTCTTCATCGTGCCGTAATTACCAAAAGACGTATCAGTGTACTTCATGACGGGAAATCTCTGTTCAGAGTTTACACCACTTATCCAACAAAACAAAAATGATAGCGATCCTTAATGTGTGGCAGTCGCGGCGAGGTACACACAACCGTATCCTAGTCTGAGCTTCTACGTGTATCGAAAACTGGAAAGGTCATGGGTATGACGGTGCTGTCGCTCTTGGTGGAGCACTGCAATCGCTGAGATGGCGATGGCGATGTTCGATCACATGTGCAGCTGTCTTCTTGGCTCTTCTATAAAATGATCTCTTCGGCAGCTGTATCCCTTCTTTCTGCATCCAATCTGTTTCTTCTTTTACCAAAAAAGCCTTGATCAAGATCCATGGGGATTGCTCTGCCTGCACTCCAAAACCAGACACGTATGACATATGTGTTCGCAACCTTCCTTGCTTCAAAACCAGAACCATTGTCCTGGTGACTGTGCGTTCTTTCCAGGACAACTTTGAAACTATCTGTTCATTCAAAAAGACCAAGATACACATGTCATGTGTGCACGGCACTGTCGCATCAATCTACTACCAAATCTCCTATGGCGGCACCTCTCTTCTTCCTCTCTACAATTGACATGTGTGTCTTTCTGCACTGTCAAGCTTGAGCACGTTAGGAGAATGGCCGTCGTTCCTCGCTCACGAGATCTATGAGCGCAAATCATTGACAACCAACCACGAAGCTCCTACGCGAGCATCATCTCCTGGCTTTACTATAGAATTTCCGTCTGCGGCTGCAGTATCCCTTCTTCTATACCCATCTTCTTCGTCGTTTCTTCAAAATGATGAGAGGAATCGTACATGAAGATCGCGTCTGTTGCTTCAAAAGTGACCACAGAACAGAATTATGTGTCTCTCTCGAAGGACCATATCGAAGTTTCAATGTTCTAGAAACACCCCACATCCTCGTTCATGAGAGCGCCGCCACCATCACTGCATATAAAACATCTCCGACCAGTTGATCACTGCTTCTACATCATCAACTCTCTTCT